ATGCGGCACCTGTAGCCCATTTCCTGCACACGCCTGTGCACGGTGGCTCTGGATGCTTCTACTCCAGACTCAGTCCACTGCTTCCGCAGGTCCCCCAAGGTCTGGAATCGGCCCTTCTCCACAATCCTCCTCAGGGTCCGGTCACCTCTTCTCATTGTGCAGCGTTTTCTGCCACACTTTTCCCTTCCCACAGACTTCCCACTGAGGTGCCTTGATACAGCACTCTGGGAACAGCCTATTCGTTCAGCAGTTTCTTTCTGTGTCTTACCCTCTTGCTTGAGGGTGTCAATATGGCCTTCTGGACAGCAGTCAGGTCGGCAGTCTTACCCATGATTGCAGTTTTGAGTAATGAACAAGGCTGGGAGTTTTTAACAGCCTCAGGAATCTTTTGCAGGTGTTTAGAGTTACGTCGTTGATTCAGATGGTTAGGTTAATAGCTTGTTTAGAGAACCTTTTCATGATATGCTAATTTTTTGGGACAGGCATTTTGGGTTTTCATGAGCTGTGTGCCATAATCAAAAGTATTAAAACAATTAAAGACCTGAAATATTTCAGTCGGTGTGCAATGAATCTGAAATATATGAAAGTTTCATTTTTATCATTACATTATGGAAAATAATGACCTTTATCACAATATGCTAATTTTTTGAGAAGAACCTGTATATATATAATAAATATGCGTATGCATATGTACACACACACACACACACATATATATATATATATATATATATATATATATATATATATATATATAGACCACAGCAGAGTTTATTTTTCTTTTGTAGTAAAGTAAAGATTTCAGACAAACAATGCATTTCAGTGAGGATGACAAAGATATCATTACTAACACTGAATGTCCTCACAAACTGGAAGCTCAGTCCGACAGGACTGGTTGCTATAAATATTGACAACAGGGCTAATGTCGTGAGGGCTGTGCAACTTAGCACTAATGGTAGCTTGCTAACTTGAGAGGCACGTAGCTAATGACAAGCAGGTTGGAGTATTGAAGAGAATTTATTATTGTTGATTTTTAGTTAATTTTACAGATCAGTTGAAATAAACTTGCCATGCTCTGTTCAGCAAAATACACTACACAGTATTACTCCCTGCTTCATCTGTGCTGAAAGTCAAACTTAAGTGAATGGCAATGACTTGAAACTAGTCTTCATGCACCGTCTGTTGGATATATTGTACAATTATGGCTGGTTTCAGCATTTTAGGGGTTAAGTTAGAAGTGTTGGACAATTATCATCAATATCAATAGGTTCCTAAATGTCTATATAGACTTAAATTATTGGCTCTACCGAAATATCGGTCGGGCTCTAATGATTACACCATAAAAACAAATGTTAGCACAAACCTTGGTACTTTGAACAACAAAATTAATGAGTTTGACCTTTTTTGCCAAAGTTTTAGACCAATGCCCTCACATGGACAAAAGCAATGGACAAATTAAAAGATGATTTACATAAACAAAGCTGGAAAGACGTGTATGTTGATGATGTGAATAGATCATATGATGAGTTTATGAATATTTTAGGAGCTCTGTATGAAAAGAATTGTGTGCAAAATAATTGTACAAAGAGAAATGTTGTTGATCAACCATGGATGACGAAAGGGTTGAGAAATGCTTGTAAAAAAAAGAATTATTTGTATACATGTTTCTTGAAATTGAGAACACAAGAGGCTGAAGAGAAATATAAGAAGTATAAAAATAGTAGCGATTATAAGGAAACACAAGAAGGAATATTATAGTGATCTATTAAATAAAAGTAATGGTGATATGAAAGCTACATGGCGTGTAATAAATAGTGTTCTGAAAAGTCATAAAGCAAAAACAGGTATTTCACAATATTTTTTGAAGGATGACAATGAAATCCATGATGAAAATGAAATTGTAAATGGATTTAATCATCATTTTGTGAACGATGGATCAAGCCTTGCAGCTAAAATACCAAAAGTAGACAATAATGTGAACCATTCAGTTATAAGTTGTGACAACAGTATTTTTCTTAATGGAACTGACAAAGAAGAAATAATGAATGTAGTAAAAAATCTTACAGATAAGAGATCAAAAGACTGGGTGGACATGGATATGATGTTTGTAAAGGACATAATGAGTTATGTTATTGAGCCGTTTACATATATTTGTAATTTATCATTTTCAAAAGGAATATTTCCAGACAATATGAAAGTAGCTAAGGTAGTTCCTCTCTTTAAAAATGGTGATAAATGTGTGTTCAATAATTATAGACCAATATCCTTATTACCACAGTTCTCAAAAATTCTAGAAAAACTGTTTGTGACCAGATTAGATAATTTTATTACTAAACAAAACATTCTAAGTAGTAGTCAGTATGGGTTTAGAGCAAAAAACTCTACATCACTGGCTCTCATGGAAATAATAGAACAAATAACTACTGCTGTCGATCAAAAACAGTATTGTGTTAGTATTTTTGTTGATTTAAAAAAAGCATTTGATACTATTGACCACACTATTCTCCTTGAAAAATTAAATAAATATGGTATAAGAGGACCAGCATTACACTGGGTATCTAGCTATTTAAAAGATAGGAAACAGTTTGTACAAATAAATGGTGTAAGATCTGACCTGTGCAATATCACTTGTGGAGTTCCTCAAGGCTTTGTACTTGGAAAAAAGTTATTTATTTTATATGTGAATGACTTAGTGAATGTATCAGGACTCCTCAAATGTGTCCTTTTTGCAGATGACACCACATTTTTTTGTTTGGGTAAAGATGTAAAACAGATGTTGGAATAGATGAAGACAGAATTTGATAAAATACAAACTTGGTTTAAACTTAATAAATTATCATTAAATTTAGATAAAACTAAATACATGATATTTAGTAACAAAAAGAGAACTGTTGATGATCCATTTAAAATTGAGGGTGTTGAGATTTGTAGAGTTAATGAGATGAAATTTTTGGGTGTAATAATTGATGAACAGCTAACATGGAAAAATCACATAAATTCTGTAAGAACAAAAATAGCTAAATCTATTGCAGTACTATACAAAGTCAGGGAATTATTAAATGATAAAGCTCTGTACATGTTGTATAACACAATCATTGTTCCACATTTAATCTATTGCATTGATGTTTGGGGGAAAGCGTGTAAAACATTTACAAAACCTATTTTTATTTTACAGAAAAGAGCTGTAAGAATTATCACCAGAAAGCATTACTGTCACCCATCAAGCACATTATTTTATCAACTGAAGTTATTAAAGTTCCATGATTTGGTAGATTATAGTATTTTATCAGTTATGTATAGGGCTCAAAATCACACATTACCATTAAATATCCAAAGAAATTTTGTTAAAAGACAAAGTTGTTATAATCTTAAGGGGACAGAAATATTTGTCAAACCAAAATTCAGAACTAGTCTGAAGGGAAGGTCTACCTCAATACAAGGAGTTGGATTGTGGAATGGTCTAGAGAGTGATGTGAAAAATGCCAAGTCAATGTGTACATTTAAGAAAAAAGATCAAAACTGAATTGTTAAAAAAGTATATATGAAGTAGATTAGTGTGTGTTTTGTATTAGAATTAGAAAAATTAGAAAGCTATTCATTTTGTTCTGTTACTTGAAGATTATTATGTCTGAAATAATTGTTTGAAAAAAGGGGCAGATATAATAAGATTTTTTCTTCTTTCTGCTGCCTTTCATTTTAAATCTTTTGTATCTTTTTTTATATTGTTATGGAATTGTTTTGTACTTTTTTTTAAATGAATAAACTATATACCATACCATACCATACATGATGAGAAATGTCACTTGCTCCATTCTGTATCCTCATTTTCTTTATCCCCAGAATAGCTGATTTATCAGAGTCAGAGTCAGAGTCAGAGTTTCTTTATTGTCATTCGCACCTCATGTGGTACATGTGGTGGAGCGAAATTATGTACACGGGGTCCCAGTTACATCCAACAATAAAATGTATAAGAAAAACAGTAATAAGATCTAAGATATGAACTAAGAAAAACATCAACTAAATATACACTAAGCACTCATAACATAAAACATTGAACATCAGCACAAACATGAACATGAGTCTGTGAGCAGATGTGCACGCATGAACACATCATCATTGAAACAGATCAGCAGCAACATGAAACAGATCAGCAGCAACATGATATGGTTTTTCACAGTGATTATTCTAGTTAGAGATTCATGAGTCTAACAGCCTCAGGGTAGAAGCTGTTCCTCAGTCTAGTGGTTCTACACTTAATGCTCCTTAACCTCCTTCCTGAGGGGAGTGGGGCAAAAAGTGTGTGTGCTGGGTGAGTGGGGTCCTTCATGATGCAGGTGGCCCTCTTCCTGCATCTGGAGGTGTAGATGTCTGTGATGGTGGGGAGGCTGATTCCGACATATTTCTGTGCAGCCTTCACCACTGTCTGCAAAGCTTTTCTTTCTGCAGCTGTGCAGCCTCCATGCCACACGTTGATGCTGGAGCACAGGATGCTCTCCACTGCACACCTGTAGAAGGAGGTGAGGACTGAGCTTCCCAGACCAGCTCGCCTCAGCCGTCTGAGGAAGTAGAGTCTCTGATGAGCTTTCTTGATCAGGCTGGTGGTGTTGTTGCTCCAGCTGAGGTTGTCATTCATGTATACACCCAAGTACTTGTAGCTGGAGACCACTTCCACCGCAGATCCTCTTATGTTCAGGGGGGTGTAGATGTTTTTGTTCCTTCTGAAGTCCACAATCATCTCCTTTGTCTTCTTCACATTGATGTGAAGGTTATTCTCTTTGCAGCAGCTCTCCAGGTGTTCCACCTCTTGCCTGTAGCTGGACTCATCATTGTTTGTGATGCATCCCACCACCGCTGTATCATCTGCAAACTTTACAATGTGACAGCCTGGATGGGTAGCTGCACAATCATACGTGAGAGCAGAGTAAACAGGAGGGGGCTCAACACACATCCCTGAGGAGAGCCAGTACTATACTTATACTATGCTTTTAATTTCTTCACAGGTGTCGGAGGAAATATTGTGGCCATCCAGGCTAGCAGGATGTCAACGTACTGTCATTCATGGAGTGTTCCTGGAGTGCTTCCATCTGAAATGAGTTCCAGCTGTCCTGGACCTTGTGCCACCTTCTGCTCCTCAGGTGAAATATAGAGATACCATACCATACCATACCAATTTATTTATAGAGCACTTAAAACAGCAAAAAGGCCAACCAAAGTGCTGTACAATAGAAACAAACAAGCACAGCGGACAGGAAAACATAAAATAAAAATATAGATACAAATAGCAGCTGAAAAAAAAACAACCTAAATGGCCAACACTGTGGACTAGAGACAGGATCAAAACAAATCACACCGTGTCAAAGTGGTTTTAGTTGGGCTTATGAGTGGGATTTTACATAAGACCTTAACCTATACGCACCTGGTGTGTAAGCTATCATGGTTTAGATCAGCTACAGATACCAATTAAAGGGTGGTTCATGCTGAAAAA